CTGAGAAAAGTCTGTAAATCTATGGCCCAATATACTGTGTTAGTATGAAGGAATTTTCTGTATTGATTTTTTACAGGTGCTTTTACGCATTGTGTTGTGTTTTGGTTTTGAAGGAAATGTCTGTAAATTTAACAGAAAATGTAACTGGTCACTTTTTGCTGATTTTTTTTCTTACAGTAAGGAAAAAACTGGGAAATGTACAGGTAATTTTCTGCCAGGACATTATCAGGACATTATTTGATGGACATTTCCATTAACCCTAAAACACTATTCAATGAAGTGCAAAATTGCAAGATTAAAATACAGGTAAAACATCAGTAAAGTAAAGTAAAGTAAAGTAAAATAAAATCAGATAAGATAAAATAAAATAAAATAAAATAAAATAAAATAAAATAAATTTTTCAAAGTATTACAGTACATTGTGCCCTATTTGAATGGATTTATTTTATTTTATTTTTTTCAACAGATGTTTGTATAGACCACTATCCCTAAATTTAATGGAGGGAAAAAATAAGAATTGGTTATTTTATAATCAGCAACACTTTACAATAAGAGTGAAAGTTTTACAATGCATTTTGCAATGGAAAAATGCATTGGCTATCACGAACAACAGCAGATATTTTTAGTGTTGTTATTTTATTCATAAGCATTGTTTTTCTATATTACATCAACTCGTGTTAACATATATAACATTTACTGGAATTAGTATATGCAGAAATTAATATTAATCAATATTGATGAGTGCAGTACTGTGTGTTTTTCATCATTAGTTCATCCTAAATATTATGTTAAGTAATATATATATATATATATATATATATATATTTTAGCAGAAGATAGCATGTGTTCAACATCAAGGGCTGGAAAGAGAGGCTTCTTTACCATAACTTTACCTTAACTCACCCCAGTGAAGATTGGCAAGCCTGCCTGCCACTCACAGACTGCTGGAACAATACTGAACGCACAGCCATGAATGAATGTTAACACCACGCTCTCTCTCTCTCTGTGCCAGAATGTGTTTCCATGAGAGCATGACTGACAGTCTGTGGGCTTTAAACCAGAATCTGAGTAGATGTGCAGTCCAGCTCTTACATTAGACTCTTACATCAGCACCTCAGGACAAATGTGTGTCATTAAACTAGATTTTTGTCATTTTTGTCTCTTTAGTTTAGGAATAGTTCACCCACAAATTAAGATTCGGTCATTATTTACTCACCCTCATGCTTGATGTTGTTTTTCACAAAATGATCATTTTTGGAGAGACTTTTGCATACAAAGAGAGTTGATGGTGCTCATGGCTTTTAAAATCACCATAAAAGTACAGTTCTTTAAAAGTAAAGGCATACAATAGCTTTGTGTAAAAACAGACTGAAATTTAAGCTGAAGTTCACTCGTTATATTCCGACTATTCACATTTAGGTTTTTGAAATTATACGTGGAAGTGTCACTTTAATTTTATTAATTTGTTTGTTTGTTTTATTTGCATGTATATGCATTTATGTCTTATATATCTATTATTTATAACTCTATTATGAATGTATGTATGTATTTATTTTAATATTTAGTTATTACTTGAAGGCAGTGTACATCACTTTTGATAAAGGCATTTGCCAAATGCATAAATGTAAATGTAATATATTAATGACAAATGTCCTGGTTTCCATGCTGTAACAATAGAATATAATATAATAGAACTTTATTGTCATTGTTTTAAAAACAATGAAAAACAGTTTAGTTGCTCTTTTGGATTGGAAATGTAAAATAAAAAAATAAATAATAGACATCTCAATGAAGATAACCACAGTGAAGTAATCTAAAAAAACAGTGAATAATAATAATAATAATAATAATAATAATAATAATAATAAGATTGACTTTTTTTATTATTAGAATCTTTTATTAGGTTTTGTATAGATGAGAGTGATTGTTGGTGACTTAATTCTACCGGAAGTACACAATGATCATTTTTGGAGAGACTTTTGCATACAAAGAGAGTTGATGGTGCTCATGGCTTTTAAAATCACCATAAAAGTACAGTTCTTTAAAAGTAAAGGCATACAATAGCTTTGTGTAAAAACAGACTGAAATTTAAGCTGAAGTTCACTCGTTATATTCCGACTATTCACATTTAGGTTTTTGAAATTATACGTGGAAGTGTCACTTTAATTTTATTAATTTGTTTGTTTGTTTTATTTGCATGTATATGCATTTATGTCTTATATATCTATTATTTATAACTCTATTATGAATGTATGTATGTATTTATTTTAATATTTAGTTATTACTTGAAGGCAGTGTACATCACTTTTGATAAAGGCATTTGCCAAATGCATAAATGTAAATGTAATATATTAATGACAAATGTCCTGGTTTCCATGCTGTAACAATAGAATATAATATAATAGAACTTTATTGTCATTGTTTTAAAAACAATGAAAAACAGTTTAGTTGCTCTTTTGGATTGGAAATGTAAAATAAAAAAATAAATAATAGACATCTCAATGAAGATAACCACAGTGAAGTAATCTAAAAAAACAGTGAATAATAATAATAATAATAATAATAATAATAATAATAATAATAATAATAATAATAATAATAATAATAATAATAATAATAATAATAATAATAATAATAATAATAATAATAATAATAATAATAATAATAATAATAATAATAATAATAATGCACTATTTCACATTGGTGTGACATTTGACAGTTGTCAATCTGTCATATCACTTCAGAAGACATGGAATATAGTGCACAAGTCATTTGGACTACTTTTAATTAATTTTTTTTATTTTTTTGGTCATTTTAGAGCTCGACAGCCATGCATGAAAAAGGGTTGCACAAAAAAAATAACGGCATACAGGTTTAAAATGACACGATGTGAACAGAATGCTTATTTTTGTGCAAACTATTTCTTTCAAAGCGGAGCCCGTCAAAGCGCGCGCGTCCTGGAGGACTGAGGCTTAAACACAAGCACTTTGCCTCTCTTGGAAACTGCAGCTTTAATCATTTTGAAGGGAAAACATCAGTGTTAGTGTGGGGTCTCCTTTGAGTATACGGCTGTGCCTTACAAGCATTTGTCCTTGCTTTCACTTTCCTGGTGTGTGTGCCTCTTTCCTTTTCATTTTCCAATCCGAGCAAGCGTGAGTGTTCCTCGCTGACTTTAGGTAGCAGGAAAGACTTTGCAAAAAGAATTGTAATTTAGGGTTTTTTCCCCCCATCTCCTCTAATTACACTTGGATTTTCTATCACCTCCCTAAAAATTGACTTAAACGCCGTGCGAGTCTTTTGATGACCGTGTAATGAGAAATGAGCAATGAGAGAATATGGGAATTTTTCGCAGGATTGTCTGAAGTGCCGCCCACTCCCTCTCCGCCGCTCCTCTGTTCCTCTCGCTCTCCTAAACGCTCCCATCTGCTGTCTCACAATCCGGCTAATGTAGTGACTGTGCCCGATGCCGCTCACAAGTACACCCACTCTCAATGCCACAACTTCTCCGCCTCGCACTTCTGATTTATCACAGAAACTGTAATTTGAAAGCCTAGCAGGCCGAGACAGCTCGGTGTAGTTTTAGCATAATATGACAAAATGTGCTTTTTTGGAAGAAAGGAGGTGTGCAGCTCCTGCACAGTCATTTATAGTCTGCGTTGTGAATGCAAAATCTTCTGAATACACTGTATATTCAAATTTGCATAATTTGTAATATTTAACCTGTACAAAGCTGTGCAAAATGTTATGCAGCATGTGAAAACATTAAATGCAATGATGAACAAGTGTGTTTAAGGAAAATAAGTGTGTGTGTATGTATGTGTATATATATATATATATATATATATATACAGTATATATATGCACACACTATGATAGTTTTAATTTTTTAATATATTTTTTATAAAGTTATTTTTTTAATATTGTCTGTTTTCTAATAAATTTTAGTTAAGTAAATTAAATTTGGGTTTAAGTAATTCTATTGTTTTTTTCTTTTGTTTTTACTTAATTATTTTTTGTTAAATGTATGTACTTTTTATTAAATTTGGGTTTTCAGTTTATTTTTGGTTATTTGACATACTATATAAAAAAAAGAGAAATTATGCCTTGGAAGCAAGCTGAAACAAATTTAATAACATTTTTTTTTTTTTAATGTTTTTTTAATTATTATTTTATTTTCAGTTAATGCTTGTTTTAATTCAAGTAATTAACATGTTTTAATTTGAGTGAAAATCACCCATATATACAGTATGTAACTCTTCATTTGTCTCTCAAGGAAATGTACTTAATTTATTTATATTATATATTTATATATATATTATCTAGATATATTTAACCATTGTGCAAAGCTGTTGTGCAAAAATATATTATGCAGCAGGTTGACTGGTCCTTTAGTTCTGCCATTAGTCTGTTTTTTATGCATCTATGTAACATTTTGCACAGCAGCTTTGTACAGTAACCAGTAACTCCCAAATAGATTTGGAACCATTTGAATTACCCAAAAGTGAAAGTCCTGTGAGCTCAGAGTATTTTGCATTCACACAGAATGTTATAAATGGAGTTGCATTCATCTGAGATGATCTGATTGCATTTAGAGAGTCACATAGAAGCCAGAATTATTGCAAAGCGCTGTCAAGCTTATCAAATGTTGGCCAGAGGCTGACACGAACTCGAGCGAGGGGAACATGACTTGTGTTTGTGACAACAGCAGCTGCATGAACCTGGAAATGCAGATATGCACGCTTTGGTTTGTCAGCCGCATCATCTCAGCAGTGGCTGTTCTCTAGACTCACACACTGTTCGACTTGCCAGAAGTGAGTCATTTACATGAGGTAAATATTGACTTGTCGGCTACTTTTCTGGATGAATAGTCGACTAGTAAATATGAGTAGTCTGACTGAAGTTCCTTCAGTGTGAGTTTTTCACTTAGTAAAGCACCAGCATTCTCTCCAATTATTTATTTAAATCTGTAAACATTTTCTGTCTTTCTGTCTCTTCTCCAGCTCATTCACACCATCAGTGTGGTGGACAGAGACGAACCGGTTATTATCAAAAGAACGGCATTTATTTAAAATATAATTTTTTATAACATTGTAAATGACTTTATTATCACTTTTGATCAATTTAATGCATCCTTGCTGAAAAAAAAGTATTAATTCCTTTTTTTTTTTTTTTTATTAAAACTCATGATTTCCCCAAAAATATGAAGCAGCACAACTGTTTTCAAAAGGAAATG